CTCCAAATTGGACTCTTGGACTGGGTGCGTTCATGCGCGTGTGTGTGTGTGTGTGTGTGTGTGTGTGTGTGTGTGTGTGCGTGTGCGTGCGTGTGGGTGTGTGTTTGTGTGTTTGTGTGCGCGTGCGTGTGTTTGTCTGTGTAATTGAAGAAAGGGGAAAATAGCAGTGATCACATTTCAGTCTCTGACTTATTTATTTTCAGTGCTAACATGTTTGGACTGTGAGTTTGGATTTATGACATTTATAAATGGAAAAAAAAAAGATTGCTGAAGATGTGTTTGTGTTGTTGATGTGCAACGTGCCCCATTATGCGCTCCTTTGCAAATGTGTTACTCGTCACGTTTCTCTCAGTAATGAGTGTTTTGTGTATTTCAGTTTCCCCGTGTTTATGCCTTTCTGCACATTTTTGTGAGGTTGCCTTCTAGCTCGTTTTATTCTCATCATCTCATTTGTGCAAGCAGAAGGTTTCCAGCTTCTCCTATAATGTTGAGTCCTCAGACGGTGGAGTGGGTTGAGCTCATATAATTAAAGTGCCACAATAGACTGGCGTGTTTTATGGCAGCAGTTTATATTGGACAAGGTAAACTTGACTCACCAATCGTTGCCCACTGGAAAGACATCAATCTCAAATTGGAAGAGGAGGATGGGAAGTGGAGCAATTGGGAACAGGAGGGATAATAAAAGCGTCAGTCAAACAAGAAGAGCTGATTTAAAATCTGGAATAGATGAGCGATGTATGACTGCGGCAGGGGGAAGTAGTAGTTTTAAAAGAGTTATCTTTCTGTGTGGCTTTATGCCTCGATGATCCTATTTGAAGTCTTTTAGCTTTGGGTGGCCAGCCAGTGGGGCTCTGTATATCAATGTTCTCTGTGTGTGTGTGTGAGAGAGGTGTGTGTTCGCCTTCTAAACATTTATGTTCACTGTTACACGAATTCTGAAGCATTCTGTCGACAAACTAAGAGTAACTCTTCCAAATGCAGCCCACTTAACGTCTGATAACGTGTGGAGTTTGAAGCTAAATTGTCAGTGGATGAAAATATTTGATGAGCCACCACAGCTATGTGGTGAAGTGTTTGCTGGTTCTTGGCACGCAGTCTATGGTGCTTGTCATGAATTAAAACCGTCTCTGCATGTCTGGTCTCCTACTTGATGTTTTAAGTGTTTCAGCTTGTTCACCAGCTCTACATCTATGTATCATAAAATGATACTGTAATCATTACTTAAAAAAAACAAAAACACATGAAAGTCATTGCTCCTCTATAAGTAGAAAAATGCACTTTGTTCAAAGAGAATGCCTTGAGAGCAATTTGCATCTTTGACTCTTGTCAAATCATTTCAACTCACAATTGGCTTTTTGTTGAGCAAAGTAAACATTTAAATAATTAGATGTTTGATGTCCAGATCTAGATCTCTTATCTTTGGCCTACTTTTAAATATGTATGACAATTTCTTGGCTCTGCCCGTGATCTCCGTGCAAATTACATCAGTGTCTGCCTTAAAGACTGAGTTTTTGTGGTGTATCTCAAGATTATCAGTGGCATACATCTGACCGCCGTTTTGAAAATTTTCTGGAGGCAACCCTGTTCTGCAGAAGCCTGGTAAAGAACTATTCATTGGATTCGGGGGTGTTGAACCAGGGAAACATTCAAAGTATGCAGGACACCGACCCTTGAGATCTGACTTTGTACAGTCACTCACACAGTGTGAACACTTCTAATTTACAAATCTCTGCTCCGACTTTATTTTAGGAGCCCGCATTCCTTTTCTCGATGGATACAGTGAATGAAAATGAGTTGTGATTTAGAGTCGACAGATTTTTGACCCAAAAGCTGTTGAATATTGAGGGATGCGGTGTTTACGTGTACTGTGGAATCTGAGGCCAATGGTGAGCTCTGGCCAAGGTTCTTGTGTGCTTTTAGTGCAAATGTGCATATAAGGTTAAACTTTCACCGTGCGGTATTTATCAATAAAGTGAGAATCTTAACGGGCGGGTGGTTTGGGTCAAGCTGAAGTTTTAAGTTCAAGTCCAAGTTTTTACACAACCCACAGGAAAAAGAATGTGAGTTTTAAAACGAAAATGAATGACAGGCATGGGAGGGGAGAAGAAAAGCCAACAACTCAACTTCTGTCGAAATAACAAAAAGTACAGTGCTACTGTGTAAGGCAGTTATATGTGTGCGTGCATATGCGTGTGTGTGTATGTGCTCTGTGTTTAACGTGTGGACTTGGTAACCTGAAACCACAGGGAAAACGTTCCTTGAATTCCGGGTGGGTTTTGGTATCATGCCTTGCTTAATGGAGCCCCCCTGAGTGGTGTTGGGAATGTTGCCTCTGCTAAGGGTGCAAAATGAAGAGAACGTCCTGCCTTATTTTCATCCATTCATGCATAGTTGACCTGCAGCCAAACAGAGAAATATAAGAACGATACGGATGAGGAGGCACTCGTATATAACAACACCACGTTTTCTACAATCACTGTTGTTCCTTAATCAAACAATGGTACTCAAATTAAAGCTTCACAGTGAAAACTTAGCAAACCAGCAGCGTAAATAGTCTTTACATTTTGAGAAATAGTTTATGTTTTCATAATTAAAGCCAGTGTTGTCTGGTTGTGGGTAAGTTATTACACATACAAGCTCTAAATTTCTACTGGATTTGATTCAAACATGGCTGCCAGATTCTCCTAAGCTCTGTGGGTGTGGACTTGGATCATTCTAGAGAAGAAGCACCTTCATTTTATTTCTGCTACGGCTCAATTTTTGGCCCATGTTTCAGGCCTTTGTCCAAACAGTTCTGCCATGCAATCATCATTATCTACCAAGTAAAAAAAAAAAAAAAAAGATAAACATTCCAGAGTTTGCAGAATGTTTGGAACATGGGTAAACTAAGACTGTAACACAGTACGCAGACAGAGCAAGAGAATAGCCTGTTCTGTCGAAAGTATGATGACATGAAAACATGAATGCAGCTTTATAATCTAAAAAATTGAATATGTGTTCCCAGATGAGGCTCGTTTGCCATGTTAAAAGTTCATTTCAAAAATAGCAACTATTTGAAACTAATAGTGAATATTAAACATATTTTTCATACACTCCACGTTTCTGTGTCTACATTTTTTATTGGTCTAATGTAATATTCTACTCTTAAACGCTGTGTCTTAATTATCTGTAAGAGGAAAATGATTATAATTAACAGAAACAAAGCTCTGAAAACTGTGTCTAATTCATCTCTCTATCTCTATGTTTGTCACTTCATTGAGAGTCACTTGTACATCTTCATCACACAGGGCACTTGAGCAGAGTTCCTTAGCGTATGTCTATTTGTAGTTTTGTTTTGTTTTTATTAATGAAATGCCATGTTTTTACGAACACAGCAGAGATTCCAGAAATATCCATGTTTGCGTGCACTGCACGCAAACAGTGCAACTTTTTAAGGTGATCCAAGTCAAATAGGTTTACTTCATTTATAAGTAGTGAATCTGATCCAATCAGATAAAAAATGCCAATCACAAAAAGTTTTAAATTCCTAAGACTGAACCTGTAGGATCCCATATGCATAATTGAGATCCCTATTTTTATTTATTTATTTTTTTCTTTTCTCCCACATTGATGTTTACTAGCATCAACTAAATCTTTATGTCAGAGTAAATTTTGAAAAGTCCAAGTTAGGGAGTAACACAAAATACCGATGTGTAAAAACCAAGACAAAAATTATTGTCTGCCTTCATCTTTATTAGTGATGTGGTTACTCATGAAAGAAATTGAAATTATTGATTAGGAATATTATATTGTAATAAATTACTGAATTGGTGTAAAACCAATTGCCTTAAACTGGAATTTTCAAATTCATCTCATTGGCTGCCTTATGGTCATGAGTACAATTTTCCAACCTGTTCTTGATTGACAGATATGCCTGCTCATGGCAAGCACGATAGCTATGACTGGGATTTCCGCCAAGAAGGCCATTTTGTCCACGTGTTTATCAATCCCACCGTCTGCTTGCCTTCATTTGCATAACAAATCTCCAACCTTTGTCCTTCTTCTCTTTGCCTCCTCTCTCTTCTCCACTTTGACTTCAGGTTCGTAGTACATCACGCGATATATGTTATTCTGGTGTAGGGTAGCTGCAGTTAAAGCAGACTCCTAATCCATCTATCTGCAGTGTGCTCTCAAATGTCCCTCTCATTGAGTGTCAGGGGACCATCTGTGGTTATGTGTCTGTAAAGTAATTTCTCTTATGCGTGAAGAGAAGTGTGCTCTGGGGCTGGTGCGTCTTGTGAATTTGTCTGCATGAGTTCATGGTAAAGGACAAGTGTGAGAAGTACTTCCATGCTCCCCCCCCCCACCTCCTTGCAGCAGCAGACCATGAACTCTACTTTCCTCACTCAGCACCCTCACAGAGCCTCTGTCCTATGTATGTGGGTTGAATAAACATATAAACTGGAATACACTGTGCTCTCACCTTAAATCTGGTCAACCTGTTTTGACTTTTTTTTTTGAAAAAAAAAAAAAAAAATCAACCCTTAGCATTAGCTCATGTTATTTTGATCAGTTGAACATAAGCAGACAAGCAAACAGGTGGTTGCACCACACCAGAAGATCACAGTCCACTCCACCCGGCTGTGCTCTCGGGCATAGTTTACTCTGCTGGCTCTGCCCCTGCCTGCCCTTGTCTGCCGTCCAAACACCAACTGTCCCTCTGTCTCCCCCCAGACCTCTAACCTCAGTTATCCGTGCCCTTCTCGGCATGTAGGCATGTGGGCTTGAGGAGAGATTCAGTTTTAGGGTTTAATATCTGTTTCTCTTCCAGTCTTCCTTCAGTCCTTCCTCCTTTCCTTCTTCCCTTCCTTCCTCCTTTCTTTCCGTCCAACCTATATCCAGCAGTTTTTATGTTCACCCATATTGCCACTTAGTGGCAGTATTTTATCACTGCAAAAGGTATTTCATAACCAATTAAAGAAGTCAGAAACTTTATAATCGAATGCAAAGAATATTTTGATTTAGACTAGCAACTATAGTTTAGCAGTGGTGTTAGTTCAGTATTTCACAGAAAAAAAACAAAACAATGAATGCCTATTTTTTTTCAATCTGTCCATCCATTCATTCTACTTGCAGGCCAGAAGATGGATCCTCCCCATCTTCTCCATGGGGTTTTGGGTCTGCTCCCAAAGAGGTGTGGCCAGAAAACCTGAATAATAAGAAGAATATAAAACAGAACAGAAAAAAAAGAGATTAGAAAGAAAATTATTTGATCATAATTGCATTGCACAAAAAGGCCTGAAGTTGAAAATAAATTATTAGTAATAAGATCAATAAATCTAGTAATTAGATCTATAAGTGTATCCTCTGATCAAGCACAGATACTAAAAAAGATTAAGTTAATGTTTTTTTTTTTTTGTCTAAATGGATGAAAGTGCTATTAGTCTCTTTTTCAAATAAGTCCTCTATTTATAACAAAATCCGTCTCAGTTTATATCAATTTTTATGAGTGCACGCATTGGGTTTTACACTTTGTGTTCCTTAAGTCTAGCAGTTTAGCTATTTTCTTTCGAGGTCTATGTGGTCTGCCGTCTCAGACTGCAGCATGTCTGCTGGTACATTAATGCAGGCGACACAGAGGTGGGGAGAAGTTACACCCAGCCACAAACACGGTTAGGGCAGCCAGGCCTGGAAAAGTCCTCAAAGCAAACCACGGGCCAATTACAGTTTTAATCGATCTCATTTCCATCACAGGCTATTAGAGCTTTAAACACGCTATGGCCATATTTTATGTTTCCACTGCTCTGCCACTAACACTACAGGAAAATGTTTACAAATTTCTTTTTATAATTTGTTTAACTTTCATGTCCCCAGTGAGTCATAAATTTGTAGTTGCAGGAAGGGAGAATGGCTGGTTCCCTCACTTAGCTGCAAATAAAACTTGTCAGTTTAAATGTCTTTGGTTTAGATTGGATTTTCAATGTCCATGGAGCTAAAATTCACAACAAACTGAGAAAACTGTCTATATTTCACTTGAATATTAGTGTTTAATGTACGTAATAAAAGGCTGGGATGACAGCTTTGCGTCACTACGTCATTGTTCAGGAGGTTATTGTGATCATTACAATGAAATAAAATATGTTACAGTTGTGTAAGCTATCTTTTTTCAAGTGATCTTGCTTTAATTTTAACCATTGCTTTTAAATAATGAATAGAGTGTGCTTTTAATTCATAGTACTCACCACATGGAGGCAGTATAACCACAGTTTTTTCTTAGACTAACACCTCTATCAGTGTCAACAGTGTTGTAGCTATGACTGACTAATTTACCAAAAGGCTTAACATATTCACTGTAAACTGCCAGACAACAAAACCTAGTCCTATTAGTACATTTTATTTATTTGCACCTTCAAGAACACTCAGGGTTATCTTGCTATCAAAACAATCCGAAATCAAGTGCAAACACAAAGGCACACAAAAAGTATAAAAATACGCAGAAACAAAATCTAAAAAGAGTGCAAGCAGATATGTTTTTACATGTCAGGTGAAAAGTACTTCCAGAGGCAAGGAGTAGAATGACTGAAAGATCTGTCCACCATAGTAACCAGGAGGGAAAACAAGAACAGTAAGATAAATAAACCTAAGGCATCAGAACGATACTGAGAACCCTATGGATTACATAATCACAGACTTAAAAGTGAAAAACAGGATTGAAACATGAAATGTAAGGGCTGCCAATGACGCTGTTAAAGAGATGTGCTTAACAGACGGAGTTCAGTATGTCATAATGAAGTTTATAAATCATATGGAGAGAAAACTGCAGCGAATTTAAAATCATTTCCAGTTCTAGTATAAATGGGAGTCCGAGTGATTCTTCCTTCTCCACTCTAAGTATATTGTCTTTTCAGTGTTAGATCTTATTTATAAGCAGCTGATATAGATGGTAAGGCATAGTTAGGTAGATCAACTTCCTTACAAAAACCACAGAAAAATCTCTGTGGACATTCATAGCTACTCAAATAGAAACTACAGCTTAAATAACCAGTCACACCACTATCTTTTACAGTAGCTGACAGTGTTTATACTGCATATATCAGAGGGGTTGCCCACTTAAAAGAGATTGCGCAAGCAAAAATAAAGTAAATGAAAACTTACTTGGGAGGCAACTGACAGTTAACTTTTCTTATAGCCCCGCTCAGAAGGATTTGAATTAGATGAGCTGTGTACGCCCAAAGATATACGCCTTAAACCAGCGTCTTGGTAATAAGACATTCTTACAAACGTTTAGAAGTGAAAGAAACAGGAGTATGAGAAAAGAAAGGAGAAGCATGGATATCTTTTTTTTTTTTTTTTTTTTTTTGCCAAGAGCAAGTTACTATGTGGCAAATTAATTTGCCACTTTGCAGTTGCTGCAATTGTTAGATAAATCGATACATGTTCATTAGCCTGGAGTGCTGAAGAAATGAGACATGCTCTGTTGAATGCAGGCTTGTAATGGGCTAATAATGGGCCGGGCTAAATATTGTCTCACCTCGCCTGCAGATAGACATGGGGGAAAAGAATAGATCTAATGATACCAAGCACCTCTAAGGAACAAGGTACTAGCAGGATGTGGATAGCTGTAAATATGTGCAAATATGTTGGAGTGTTTAATTAGTTCCCCTTTACTCTTCAGACTAAGTGCATTCACTGTGGCTCAGTTTTTGTTCCAGCTTTCCAAATATCTGGGTTTGGCCCAGGTCACAATGGTCTTCAGCACATTCCAAGGAAGGACAAGACAAGGGCTAAATTAAAAACAAAAAAAAAAAGTTTTGGTTTGGATAACCTACACCAGGGCTTGTGTGTTTCCACAAGCAATGGCTAGGGGATATAATAAATATTATCTGTTAGGCTCTCTGGACGCAGGATGTGTGACCTTGGTCACCAGCGGATCCTTCAAACTTTCCCCTGGAAATCTGTCTGTAATCTGTTTTTTCCTCAACCAATTTTGCCCTAAGTTCAGTGGACAGCTCATCTTTGAAGAGCATTTCATTTTGCTATTAGATGTAGGCCACATCACCACAAGACCACGGTCTGCTGTAGAGGAAGGGACTGGGATCAGCTTTCATTTCCATCTACCAAGAAAACGCATGCAGCCAACAGCTACCACAGCACATGGCTGATTATACAAGAAAACAGAGACAGGCAAACCAGTCACAATGTCTTTTTGCAACACATGGAACTCTGTTCATGTAAAATTAAAGGATGGACTTATATACTATTTCACATAAGTACCATATTTATTCATCTGAAACTGTTTCGCATTTTACAATCATAATTTTGAATGCAGTTTTGTGACAGACCACAAAACTACATTCAAGAGTAGTTTTCCTTAATCTTAGAAATACGATTAAGGAAAATTAACAGTGCTTTTCAGATTATTTTTAAAATAAAAAGCAGAAAGAAAATAGTGAAAGAAAACCTGTTATAGGCTGAAAAACAATTGTAACAGAAACAATAATCGGAGTATAAACCTAAAACTTGAAAATGACTGTTTAGAGATACTCCCATGCTGTCTGACTAATCAAATATTTTGCATAGCAGAACTGGTAAACAAAACAAAACAACAACAACAACAAAAAAAAACGTCACCCTCTTAAACTGCAAATACAGAGACAAATAACCCAGAAAGATTTTATTTGCTGCTATTCTTACAACCAACAGTATTTTGCAAAGCATTGGCTCACTGGGCCTCAGAAATAAATAGATGCCACATTTGGAGATTTTTATTTAGATAAAAATTATATTTCAAACTATTTGTCACTTTCCTTCTATTTCACAAGAATTCCTTGAAGTTTGCATCTGTATTTAGGCAAAATATGAAAACGGTCTTGAGGCATAAAAACAATAATAATTAGTGAAGCACTTCATATGATGCATTACATGAAATCTGACATAAATGATTGACCATGTAAATTAAATTTTTACATAGTGAGACACCCCCCACCGCCACATCGCCAGTCCCTGTGCAAAAGTAAATGTTTAAGGAAATCAAGAAGTACCTGACTTGACCTAATAAAAGGCCAGGCACAGGCAATTGATGGCTTTAAAATCATCTAGAAAGTGGAGCATGAAAGGGAGCATTTTGTAAGCACAGTTACAGCTTTTATTGCACTGCTGAGACCACACTTTTATTGTGTGTGAGACATTAGTAATTTGAGCTGTAAGACCTTAAGCCATATAGCAGTTGCAGTGCAACCATTCAATAAAACAGCCTGGTCAAATCAACCTGGGAACCCTTCTGAAGGAGTAAACCCAAGCCTACCACAAAACCTTAATCACCCATATCTCATTGAGAAATACCTCGGATAGACACAGTGCCAGCTCCGCACACATGATTTACCTCAGGTGTAGTTCAGAAAGTTAACATTAAAGGTCTCCTGATGTAAACTTCATGGACAAATATGCATGTTCTTGACTAAAATGATGTAACCTGGAGTTGAGAGTTAAAACAACAACTTTTCAATTCACCAACATTAAACAAGCTGTAAAAATAATTTTAATAGATTCAATATAAACACAGTGTAGCTATATTTATATAGCTTTGATGGTTATGTTTTCTCTGGATGTTAAAATATTTGCTCCTTCATATTTATAAGCTTAAATATAAAGATATTGCAAAAGACCAAAAGAGAAAAAACAGACATCTATCAAAACAATGTTTATCCAGGGAGTTAAAAATCAAAAAGTTTTGAAGCCCCTTGAAATACTTGGAATTCTAGGTTTCCTTAAGAAAAAGAGTGTTGGCTGAGCACTAGATGAATTATTACAAATGACAAGATTTCTGAGTTTTGAGTTTCTCACCAGAGCCTGATTAGTCATGCAGACACTCCCCATCACAAGAAGGGGTTAGTCAGAATGAAATCATCAAAACAAATTCCAAGAAACCTCCAAACAGGAACGATTATATCGCTAAATTCTGCAGCTATCTTTTCCGATGACATTTGCTGTTGCCAAGATGCCTTCTTTTCCTGTGCTGATCTTCATGTTTCTGACTCTGCTCAACTCTTCCCACACATCCGAGCAATCACATCATGAAACACATGACAGGAGGCTCTCTGGACTTCCAGCCAAGACCACAGAATCACATGGCAGCCTTAACTAACCTATTAAATAGATTAACTTAAGGTTCCCTAAAGTTCAGCAAAGCAGAGGTTTTCTTAATACTAATCAGTTGGAAGAGAAGACCAAACATTTATCAAAATAATTTTCTTTCTGACAATATTGGGCGAAATGTTAGAAGAAGACTTTTAAACCTGATGAAATCAGAGGTTGTTGGGAATAAAAAAAAAAAATAAAATAAAGAATTAAACTGATGCGAGTATCGCCTGTAACCTTCCACCTTACACATAGCGTGCCAAGGACAACAGCAGCTTCAAGAGAGGTGATAAAGTCAGTAAAGAAAAAAAAAATGGTACTTTGAACTGCCAACCAAAGGGTTGACTTGGAGAGATCATCTAGGAGCTAAAAGAAAAGGAGTAGAGTGCAGGATGGGTGAGAGAAAAAGAGCAGTGAATAAAACGGAGACTGCTTAAGCTTAACTGCCCTGCAGATGACCCCTTCATTTTTGCTTGCAGTTTCTTCTTGCACATTTTGTGATCCAAGTATTTCCTCTTTAATATTGGTGCCTTTGAAGTATAGCATGCTATATTGCTTACTGCCAGGAGTTCAGACAGCTTCAATAAGAGCAACCAAAATGTTCTCTTTTCTTTCTTTTTTTTTTCTTCTTTTTAGCTTGGTGTTTGAAATATTTATTTTTCATGAGAGCAAATCTAAAATTTTAGAGGTTATGGCAGGCCTCAGTGCCATGTGACTTGTTTATGGGGCACAGGACTCCGGCAGAGTGTTTGTATCTGTTTAGACATATTTATATTCGCTGTAATTGGCAGCATGTTCTCATAGGTTATGTTGATTAAATGTTTGTAAAGTGGCTTTCACCAGTTCCTTTAGTGTTTGTACTACAGCGAAAGGCTCCTAGGCTCACAGTGTGTGAGAACAGTCTGGCCTTTCAGAACAAAACCTCTCGTTCAGACTATTTCAACATGTCCAAGCCCAGCTCGTAAAGTTAGCTGGCTACAGACATCCACTAGACCCCTCCCTTGCTTTCCCTGCTGGACTCACTTGTGACTTCAGGCTTCCCTCTTAAAAGGGCAGGAAGAAATAGCGGTATTGCAGCTTTTCCAGTGTTGCCTGGTTTTAATGATGTAGATGGCAACATTTACTAAATTGTCCTTTATTAAGCACTATGCACAAAATTATGTTGTAATTATAACAATACTACTACTACTACTACTACTACTACTAATAATAATACATTTTTCTCTATGTTTAATACCTGAATTTATTAATAAAGTGAATGACACAATTTTACCATGTGATTCATTGACGTGACGCCGGCTCCGCCCCCAATCAGGATTAGCGAACTCTGGGTAACGGCTGTCGAGATTGCATGTTCCCCACTGATAATGATGGACCATGATTTCTTAGTATTTTTCCTCGAAATCTGTATGACAGCACTTTAATGATGATGAACACAGATATTCCGACTATCTATACTATCCAACAATCCGCCCTACCTTGTGACAATGCGCGTGCACAAGCCGATATTACGTCACGGGTTGCTGACTCAGAAGACAGGTAAACATAGCCTTACACTATACTGGACACAGCTGGCTCAGCTTTGATGCGCTATGGTATGTTGTTCAGTTTCTCCAGATAAGGGGCGCAAACCTCGGCTCAATGTGCGGCCACCGCTTGTTCAGTTGCTGACAAACCCCAAAGAATGTTTGGCAGGTGACGTCATGCTAATTTCTGCTTAAGAAATGTAATGTAAAGCTGCAAATAAGAGGTTTACAAATTTGAGAAATGCTACAAGCAAGCTAGATTGACTCAGACGGTAAGTCATAAAATAACTTTATTGATTTGATACACTTTACCTTCTCCACTCAACAACAGTCTGGAGAAAGGAGCCTTAATAATCAAATTATCTGTTGCACCACCTGCAACATTCTTTCCAGCTGTAACGGTAGAACTGTCAGTAACATAGTTTTATGTATAAACAGTCTCACACTTACAGTTCTTGTTTATAGATGACATTTTTTACTCTTGCTTCCTTGACTTGACCTAATTTTCCTGTCAGCAATGGTAGGCTTTGCAGTGTTTTTGTTTCCTTGCCCACAAAGTTTCAGATGGGTTGAGATCTGGGCAAATACAGAAAACCCAAGTAAGCCTTATTCATTCCAAAATCAACAGTGCTTTATGAGATCATTGTCCCGCAGGAACATCCGATTGTGTTCAAGTTCAGCCATCTTGCCTTTGATTGTAGGTAAAATTATTAAATTTAGAGGTATTCATAGTATTGTTGCATCCACTTTGTCAAGTGCTCAGCATGGTTTTACTCCCACCATGCCTGACAGCTGGAACAGCGCTCTCAGGTTTAAAAGCATCACTTAGATTTCTGCCAAATTGTTCCTGATCACTGTGGTCAAATCTCATCTAACCAACCATAAAATAATTGTCCGGGCGGTGTTTTACTTGACACTTTTACTTGTACAAACGCCCAGTTTGGTGTAAAACGTGCCTCACATTGGTGTTCTCCCGACTTCCAGTTTACAATGGCTCTGTCTATTCATCAGGTGTTCCTCAACAACCTAACCAACACGAAAGCATGTTCCAACAGGAAAACAATTCCAAACACAGATCCAATCTGGCTTTAGGATGGATGAAATAGAATGACGTCATTGCTACAACTCACAATCTCTATAAACCACATCTAAATACACCCACTTTCTTTTTTTTTTAAAGCCATAACTCTATGAAAAGTACACATACAAATATCCAGAATCAGGATAATGAGGTACAAGTTCACTTTGCTGTCTCCCCACTGCACTTTGAAGATGAATATTTGATTTTGATTTCTGCTTCAAACACAGAAAGCATTCCTGCAGGCCTTTAAAAGATCAAGAGAGTTCAGTTAGAAGTTGAAAACAGGGAGCGGAGGTCACTGCTACTGTGTGCTGTGAGCAGAGAGAGGATCCAGACAAAGCAGCCTTTAAGAGTGTGTGTTAATGGGGCATTCAGCGATGACTGCTACAGTTCCACCGACAGGGGCCAGAGACTCATGAGTCAAATGTAATACATGTGTAGGTAATCATTTGCAATGTTTGCTTACACTTAACATTTGACTCGAGGAGAGAAATGAGCAGAATGTTGTTTTGTTAAAGTAAGGCAAAGTGTGTAAAGATTTAAGCATTTAATTGCTGTTACTGAAGTCTGATCTGTGCCATAAACCGCTGGATTATACTGTTTAGCACACTAAATTTGCTATCAAGTAATTATCCCGGGATATCCTGCTGCATCATTTGTCATGTCCCTCATGTGCTATCAAATATTACTCCAGTGAAATGTGGTAAGCCTAGCACTGCGCCAGACTCACCATGAAACGTCTTTTTTCTCTCTCTAGTATCCAGTCTGATGTGATAATTTCCAGTACTGTCATCGCGAGCCAAGCCTAGAGACAGACATGCATACACTCCCAAACCCACAGATGTTTGATTTTACATTTTATTATTTTATTTGGTGGAGTGACGCTGGAAGACTATTGATTGTTTCCATCCTCAAAAGATTTAGAGTTGGCAGCAGTAAGAGCTTTAGCTGTTGTCAAAACAAAGATACGGTTATCTGTGTGAGTGTGCGCCTTGGGAGACTTGTAACTCAGCTTTCCAAACACACTAAAGTAAATCAAGCAATTCATTGATGAATAAATAATAATAATAAAAAAAAAGAAGAACAATGGGATGTAAAGTTAATGTGCAGCTTGACAGGGTTAAGAGGGGCGATTTTTATTGGCCCGATCAGTAAAGTGCCATTTCAGCAAGTTGATGGAGCGCAGACCTCATCAACACATTGCTCAGATCACAGGCCACAAATTCTCAGGTTCAGCACTTTTATGATTCCCTCCACTCAAATTTGCATGAATGCATATATGTGCGAGTAAGCACAACCACAAATGCATGTCATACCTATAAACATGTCTGTACAAACACACCGACTATAGCCATCCATAATCGCTTTATCACCGTAGCGCTGCTGCTGGAAGCATCTATTGATTTAGTGTCAGTACCTGTCAATCCCCTCATATCCTTTTAAGTTCACAAATTAATAATTTATATCAGTATATAAATCCCAAAATAATTCAGACAACATTACAAAGACATGCACAAATAAAGAGTACTATAGTAATGTAGGGAAAGTAGTTTGTAAAGTGTTTGTTGGTGTTGTTTTGCTCCCACTGTTTGCCTTATTTCTGTACTGGATTCATAGAGCTGGAAATGAATGCAGAACACCAATCCAATCTAGCAGAGCAATCCAGAGTAAAGGGAGTAATTTGCCCAAGCTTGTGCAGTTTTCCTCTTTTTAACAACATGCATCCCTGTAACTGATCTACTCACAAATAAGACATTGGTTGAAGTTTAAAGTAAGTAAGTGATAATATTAATCTTGCTGATTTTACATTTATTTCCCCAGCTATATCGCTAGAATCGTCAGAAATGGTCTGCATGCCCAGAGGCAAAACCCAGAGGTCAAAGTTCGCAGCATGGACCCTACAATTGCTGAGTTCAAGAAAAGGCTGGAGCACTTCAACCAGGTAGGAGACCGTTGTCTTACCACTCGGACATCTGTCAACGATAATTGCATTTTTTTTTACTCAAAGGTGAGCATGTGTGTTTCATCCTGGTAATACAAGGACTGACCTAGGGGTGCCACTGAAGAATACAGATACTTTTACTAATTAAGCTTTATGTTGCTGAATAAATACAATCCTTTTCAGCATCAAGAGTTACCTATCATTACCAATGACATTATCAATAAACCATCATGAAACCCATTTATCCTTGTTTTAAATACTCTTTTAAATACATGCAACACAGGGAAATGCTGATCCACTGAATTATCTTTGTCATGTTCTTGTTTTCTGAACAGACCAAAATCGAACATAAATGAAAAGGATTTTGAGGGAAAAGGAAACCCTGACAAAAAAAAGTGGAATTACTGTAGAAAAAAGGAAAGAGATGAGAGGGGAGAGCAAAAGGTCAGGAATGAGTGACAGATAGGCACAGATGACACAAGCAGCTTCAAAGTGACACTGTTTGTCATGTAGATGGGGCTTAGAGCTGAAAAGGACCAAGAAGAAAAGGCCCATTTCAGAGCTTCCCTAGAGGCCATTTGAGGAGACAAACGGACAAGGATTTTGTTCCCCTTTGCCTGACTGCCCTTTTGTTGCCCTTGAAATTATGCCTACAAATAGTATCAGTCACTGCCCACTCTATATCTGTAGATCTCACTTTCTTTTTCCTTTATTTTACCCTGCCTATGTCTATTCGATTGCTCATGCTTCTAATACATCAAAGAAACCTCCTCTTGTGTGTTCTCATTTGTCTTTGTTTCTCCCTGTTACTGAGCCTCTCTGTTGCTCTTATTTGAACTGATATCGTGGTTCTTTCTATCTGCTTTCATTCTCTTGCCTTTATCTCAGTCTTTTTTTTTTCTTTTTTCATGAATGTTTCCCCCCCGTCCCCCGTTCTTGTATCGCTCATATCTCCCAGTCCGCCTGTCAACCTCTCTGCCTGTCTGCCACTGACAGCTCAAGATCACTTCTGTTAAACTTCAGCATCCTGTTGTGCATTGCAGCTGTCAAGTACCTTGTTGTCATGGAAACTATGCAGAGTTGAGCAGGTGTCCCATTGACATTTAGAGAGTTGAAGAGTGCACCTTGAATCCAGACCAAGTGACAGAGCTTTGCAAGAGTTTTATGGCTATTTCATATAAGACCATAGGATCAAACGTCCCATGTCGCAACTAGCAAAACTGCAGTTACACGTTTGCATAATGGTAAGGCTTGCCAATATCAAAAATAACAATTAAATGCTTATCGAAATACTACTTCTACTGCTGTTGATAGTACTTACTAAAATCAAACAAGTTGATTTGTACTGTTTGTGTTGGACTGCGGCTTACTTCTGACATTTCTCACATAACGGATCAAAGGGATTTTGTTCTGAATTATATCCTCATTCAACAGAATTAGTTAATACCGTTACACTCTCATAATGTAACTGAGAAGCTTAGATGAAAGCTTCCTTTTTTTTTTCTTTTTTTTTTTACTGTCACTGTTCAGCTCATGTCTTGAGTTCCACTTTAGTTATTTGACAGTTTAACCAAATCTTAGAATATGGTGTAATTTCCATAGTGTCTTTCATTGGTACGTTCTTTAAGGACATTGGATGTTTTTAAATTGTTGAAAGACTGGTCGGTGTTCTCTGAATAATTTACATTAGCTGGCCTAAAGGTAAATGATACAATTAGTCAACTCCAAACAACACAAATATTGTGAAACAACTAAATAATAGTTGAGTGATTCTCGGGAAAGCTAAAAGTTTTCAATTTATACCGTTTTAAAGCTCTAAAGAATAAGCATACACCACTGCATGTTTGAATAGACCAGTGTTTTATTTTCTCACCGTCTGTGCAGTACAAATTTGTCAGCTCCATCTTCATGCAGTAGATTGGACAGTATTCCCAATATATTTGAACAGAACTATATGCTCAGTAGCTTTAAACTGCATTCGGTAGGATGCAACACACTGCATCCTACCAGTATTTCATGGTTTACATTAGTGAATGGCTCCAACTTAATTCACTCACCAAAGGTATTTTTGGACCTGACCCGTCTCTTCTTCATTTACCTCAGTAGATATTTTTGCTCCCTTCAGAGTTTCTGCAGAACACAAGGGACTCAAAGCGTGCCAATAAAATATCCTCCATATCATTTCACCATCAACAGAGCCTGAAACATTGAGGCAAGGCAGGATGGACCACACCTTGGTGGGACAATAACAGTGCTTTAAGGAGTTTTCTTTTGTATGTGTACAACAAATTGCGTCAGCTGTGGTTGTTTTAAAGTGCTCTTATGAATAGAGATTGAATGGACTGATTCAGCATTTGAGCAAGCAAATGAATAGGTGTACTTGGTAAAGAGACTGGTCAATGCATAAAACAGATGGTATAGTAAGAGTTCAGATCATTAAATTAATTGCGGCATCTTTCTTGATTAAGCACAAACAATCTAGTATTTATGTGGACCACACCAGCAATTGCTGGAAGCTCTGTTATTTTAGCAATAATCTCCTCTTGCCTTATTTGAGTTTTGGTCATTTCTGAGGAGTAACGCTGAAATGCAGGCCTGACTAAACAATATCATAACTGGCAAAAACATAATTGCATGGAAAAATTACATTTAAAAAGAACATTTTAATCTCCTGTAATAGTTTATTATTTTATTATTTGAAGCCCCTCATTAGTCATTATACAAAGTTTTCTTCCTGAAAGAGTGGGAGGAGGAAAAAAAAAACAGTACAAAATAGACGGCAAATTTGTTGTACCTGAACAAAAGGTTTGTATTTTCTGCTTGTTCTTTTGTGGTTTTGTATGATCACTGGTCCCATTTGTCTCATTTTTGGCCCAGTAACGGACTGACATCTATACAGCGTGTACCCCTCCTCTCGTTCGATGACAGAGGGGATAGGCAGTTTTGCAAACTGAATGATGGCAACATGTTTTCACAAGTTGTGTTTACTTTCAAGGCCCATTTATCTAGGATTTTTTTTCCTTTAATTTTAAAGTTTGCAGTGCACAGTTTGTTCCCTCAGCTGATTGTAGCTTGCTCGAATGACTGAGTTTCAATGCTGTATCCTTGAACTGTAATTCCACATTCCTCAATGCAACATAAAGTTTATAAAATGCTCTGAACTAAACTATGACATTGGAAAAAAAACTTGAAAGAACAGAGGAAGAAAAGCAAGACAATATGTTTTCTTGCTGTGCTCTCCGAGTTTATCTAAACAAGAAATCTCCTGCTGAGACATCACAGACTTTTACCTGAAATTTATCAATATAATTATTTTGCATATGCACAGAGAAGAGCTTGAGTGTCGTTTTAAACATAAAAAGACAGACAGTACAGTTGTCGGGTTCTCACAATCATGTGACGTGCTTGACAGCTTTGCGTGGTGAATGCAGAAATACACCACGTGCAAATCCGCAAAACGTTTTATGAAACTAGAATTTGAAATTACATCTTAATAGGGGAAAAAAAAAAAAAAAACATGCATGCAACTGTCAAACCTAATGTTACATTGTTCTATAAAAGGATCTATTTACTAAGTCAGATCAGAATCCACCCATGTTGATCTCCCCTGACTATCTTCTTTATTTCACTATCTTCTCTGCCTGTAAATACTGCTAAAGTGGACAATAAATGTTGTGTAATGCACGTTTGATTAATAGCATTAAGTCCAGCTGTTTATGGGTGTGGATCCTTTAAGAATGTTCATTTTGTCCTCATGAGGTCAGAACATTTGTGAATGTGTAAAACCATTTCTTTTCCAAATAGAATGTGACACACAGACTCACAGATTAACATCAACACGTACAAACCCAGACAGTATCATTAAAAAAATAAATAAATAAATAAAAATAGCAGGAAGTTGGGATAACTGAAATGTCGGAGCACCGCTTTAAAGATTTTCTTAAAAATACAGAGCATAGAATTGGAATTGAGAGAAACATGTTGGGTGATTGATTAGGCTGACTACCGCTTTGCTGTGCTACTTAACAGCTCAGTGAGATACCACACTGGAGAAGCTTCCTTTGAGATCAATCATCCTAGCAATTAAATATACTTCATTGTGTTTCTGTTCTAATTCCAGTGCTATTTTAGCAAAAACAATCATATATTTTCTGACTTCAACACAGAATGGATTTTTATGTCTTAGTCTAAGGGGGTTTGAGCTGTAAAGCATTACTGGAGCCCAGGGATGAAGAAAGAGCCTGGAGTTAGCTGGCAGCATGTCACAGGGAGGGGACAAATTCTTTCCACTTGAAAAAGATGATGAACTTGGTCTTCAGAGGAGCTCTGCTTCTTTTTTGCTGCTGCTGTGGCAACAATACAGTAACAGGTCTGTCTACACAGTCCTGTGTTTTCGCCTGGCAACCAAACTTTGTGAAGCCAGACTGTAATTTGATCAGAACATTTGTTTTGCATCGGTAATTTAATGCAAAGCTTCTAAATATCCCACCAGATGTGACTTTTTTGCCTCACTTTTGGGTTACCAACTCATCATTAAAGAAAGGAAGTCTGCAGTGACGCAGGGGTAGAGCGCATGATCCATGTGCTTTACCCCGAGGCCGTGTAGAGGACCCGTAGAGGACTGAGGCCTCTACGCGGTCATCACAGGTTTGAGTCCCGGCCTGTTTGCCGCATATCCTCCCCCTCTCTCACAACCCACTTCCATGTTGACACACTGTCAAATAAAGCACACTAGAGTCAAAAAAAAAACTTACAAAATGAATGAATTAGTAAAAAAAAAAAAAAGTAAGCCTTGACACGTAGAAAACCTAAAACTTGCTAGTGGTGGTGGCACATAGCTACGAAAATCTAATTTGCTTGTCAAGAATTAGACTATTTTGAGTTGAACTGGCCCTAAATTATCACAAGGTATTTTAAAAATTCACAATTCCAATTGTTGCCTCATTGCCAACATCTCATGCCAGCAACAACAGAAGCTGTTGCTGAGGGACAAACATTCA